GCTTCTATTCTGTCTTTGTGTTCTGTGTGTATGTAGCGGCCTTGCGACGGGCTGATCCCTCGTCGGAGGAGTCCTACCGGTTGTGTATAGGATTAAGAAACTGAAAAAGCGGCCAAGTTCCGCAAGGGCTGCAGAGCCATAGAGAGGTGTAGCTGGTTAGGCTCCCATGCGAAATAAATTAAGTATAAGTAGTTAGGACTGGGCTTATTGTCCGTAAATTTGAGTGAAACTGGCGGATTATTATGCAACGGCACATGTAGAATTTGGACTGTTAATACAGGTAGCAGCTCTTGAATCGCTCCTGTCTATAAGAATTAAGTATTCATGTGGAGCCGAGTTATGCCAAGCTGTCTGTGGTTTTTATAACATTGAAAATGGTAGGAGACGTCGCGTACTATGTTGTGNGTAATGGACAGCACTTCTCAGGTGCATACATTTTGCCCTGAATTTGCAGTACCGGTTGGTGTAGGCCAGCAATGGTAGAACAGTTTACGATCTCCCACCGAAGTTGGTTTCTATTGTATGATTTCGTCATTGCACATTAGCTGATAGTACTGCCTTGTGACGCATCTGTGCTTCGTATGTGGGAACTATGTGGTTGGAATCCCGGGCTTAAGCAGTTCACAGGCTTTCATGGTTTTCCTCACTCCCTGAAAGCGGGTACCGAGCTAGTACTTCAGAATGGCTTAGTTTGGAATACACTGGCATCTTGTGCTTTCGACTGCTCAAGGAATTGCGATGCAGTTCTTAGCATTTTACAAAAGTGCCAAGTGCTTCGTCTCATATCTTCTCGATTCCCTTTGCATAAGAAAATCTCAGAACATTTAAACCACCTCTTTAGTTAGTACGAAGTTATTCAGTCCATCAGTAAGTAATAGTGGCATTCGGTAGACCCTAAAGTCGAATCCTGTCTGTGGTCTCTTGAGAGATCATTGATTTTCCTAAGCTCTTCTTGGGTAAACACTGGGAAAGGTAGAATCTTGGGAGCAGATGAGGGATACAGTAGTCCCTCAATGTGAAGTGGGTGTACGCTAAGGGTAAAGTTCTCCCTGTGCTTAACTAATTAGAGTAGAAGTGTAGATTCAAATATTCTTGACCTCGGCACTAGTTGGAGGTGAGTGGTGAGCTTCACGCCCCTGCCACTTTATCACCGGGGAAAGAGCCCCCGGTACCCATTGGCTAGGAAGCTGGGTGGGCCCCACAGCAGGTCTGTACGACATGGAGAAGAGAAAATTCTTGACCCTACCGGGACTCGAACTCCGACCCCTCGGTCGTGAAGCCCGTAGCCAGTCACTATACCGACTGCGCTACCCGGCTCCCTCAGTGCCCTTGTTATAAATGAAATTGGCATATAATTTTCGAATCTTTGTTTCTGTGTATACAGTATTTATGCAGTGACTAAAATGTGTACATGCAATTTAAGATACATTTCAGGCTGTGGGACTAAAGACTTTGCTGTTTGAAGAAAATAATTTCAAAGTTAAATACAGCAGAAATATGCATCCTATCCGTAGCGGACTGTGCCCTCTATACCTGCGCACTACAGCGCGATATTCTGCGATGCATCCCTATATTGCAACTCAAAACATATCACAGAAACTTCTGCGTCATACAACATGTACGTTATAATCGTATTGGGGAACATGATTCAACGCCGCTGTACGCGTATATCCGGAACCGCGGCGTAAGGAGGCCAGCCATACGCCACAAACATCAACATTTGACGTTGAATAACCTGTTCAGTTGGTAAAGCATTCTGTTTTGTGATGTGACGTTGGAAAGCAGCCTCTAGGTAATGTCACTGAGATGACGGATCTCTTCAGTCATTGCTACTGGAACGTGAAGGATGTGAAAGGAAACTGCTTCCGGTTAGACAAGCATGTGCCGATCACTGCCATATCGTGTCAGCTGTTCTTGGTACACCTGCCGCCAAAGCATTTCACTTGTTTTGGAACGTATTGTTTATATCTCGGGTACATTTTCTTAACGGAACAAGTGAAATGTTTAACGAGGCTTCGCCTCTATGTTTGCATTCTTTCCTGAAGCAGTTGAAGAGTTTTATTGAAGGTTGACGTAAAGGTCTTGCTACAGAAGGTTATCTCGACATAGTCTCCGTTAGAGATCTGGCTTATCAGAAATGGTAAAATTAAACCTCACAACAAACCTTTTGCTTTGTGAAATGCAAATTGTGTGGAGGAAATTTACCTCTAATATGAGGAATAAGAAATGAAGCAAGTAAGAGAGAGACAATGCGAAATTGTTTCGACTACTCCTAACCAACCCAATGCCAACAATACGAGTTCTATGAACTAGTGAGCGATTATTAGTGTTCTTTCAGTTATGTTAGATTCCTAAGCGATATCTGTGGTCTACTGGTCGGAGTTCCTGGCTACAGACCCAGAGACCCCGGATTCGATTCTCGGCCCTACCAGATTTTCTGAGAAGTAGTGGTTCTTGAACGGGGTCCATTCAGCCTCTTGAGGATAATCGAGGAGCTATTTCGAG